ATTTTTCCTAGAACTGGAAATTTTCCCTGAAAAAATAGGAATTCTTAGTGAATTGGGCGTCCTGATTCCGAATCTGAAGTGATTTTCGACCTATTTTGACTCCTAATCTCGCTCCTAATATCATCGCATTTTCCAGAAATTGGGGTGGTTCCATGGCTGTTGGCGAGCAGTGTATATCACTGAAGATGACCCCACTTGGTCATATCGTACATTTCTGGTATATCTCTAGCTCCAGCAAATTTCAAGATCCTTACCCAACGATTACGTAAGATACATGGGTGTTTCCATTAGAAGTGGGTCACACTGTTTATACAGGGTGATTCAAAAGTTAGCGGCAACCTTCCAGGGCCGTATTCCTTGCATGAATATAAGGCAAAAAGTTCATATTAATAAAGGTTTAAAAATGCTTCCTTAGGGTGCTACGCCACTTTGAATAGGACGCCTCAAAGACAAATTTTCTTCTATAACTTTAAAATCCTCGACAATAAATTTTCGAAAATTGGTGTACGGCAATAAGACTCTCAATTCAGAATTTCAAATTTTTTTTCAGGAGCGTCACATGCGGGGATGGGTAAGTGTAAAACACCCCTTCTTCTTTTGATATTCAAGTTTTTGTGATTGACGCAAAACAGAAAGTTTTCAAAGTCAATTTTCTCCTAAATGGTACGCTCTATCGAAATGAACTAAGAAAACCTTTTTACGTGAAAAACTCTAGAATTTCATAATCTTCAAACGAAATCACAATAATCTGAATATCAAAAGAAGAAGGGATGTTTTTACACTTCCCCTCCCCCGCGAAGGATTTAAAAGTTATACAGAAAAAATCGTCTTTGAGGTGTTCTATTCAAAGGGGCGTAGCTTCCTTAGGAAGCATTTTCAGATCCTTATTTATAAGAACTTTTTGCCTCATTTGTATGCATGCATAAAATACCCGTCTGAAAGGATGCCGCTTACTTTTGAATCACCCTGTATATCCATTTTTTGTGTTCTCAATTATATCTGAGAATATTCCTTCCCCAATCAAGGGGTTCAAACTTGAACGATGGAAACTTGTTATTTTTTTCTGTGACGGGAAAAAAGTTTGGCATTTTATCTCTGTTCGCAGGTTATAAAATGTCACTTTTCATAAATTACTTTTTTCCCGTGGGTAAGAAGTGAGTACTTTTTTCCCGGATATATATCACATATATAAACACTGTTGAAGGCTTTTGATGTGCTATAGTTCCGAAAAATGAGTCAATTATACCGTCTCCGAGAAAGAACTGCAAGTCCTTTTATCTTCCATTCGACTTCGCGGTTACGTATATTACTAAACAACCACTAAATTTGCAATTTTTTGAAATCAAATCATGGAATTAGACTGACAGAAGTGACATCAGATATTTCATTACTTCAAAAGAATGATAAAGATGCCTACAACGCAGGTGTCCCTACTGTTAGAATCTTAAAATTTCACGTCGGTAATTTTCAGATTTCAAAATAATGTATTATCTTCTCAATATTGATTCGTCCTTTCTTCTTTTACATAAAAAAATAGTGTATTATACACGGGAGAAATATTAGATTTTAACTCACGGTTTTTTGTCTCCCTCCGCTAGGCGTCGGGAGACAACACAACCTGGAGCTAAAATCTACAACTTTTTTCCCTTGTATAATAAATAACTATTTATATACCTTCAATCGCAGATTCGTGATTAGGTTTTCTCAATTCAGAATTTCTTTCCACGTCCTGTATGATGAATATCAATTTATCATACATTCAAAAACATATAGATTCTAATATTTCTTTTTGAATGAACACGTTTTCAAGTGTCTTTGGCTATAGCAAATGTTTACCTTGCACAACTTCCCATATTAATTTCTTTTCTATTCATATCATGACTTGACATGCTGGAATGTTGGCTGATAAGTCAAGTGTATTTTTATTCTCACAAATTACGATAATGATTCAACCATGTACATACTTATACGTGCAATCCTTGAAGATACACTCGAGAAATGAAGCATTTTCTTATCGAGGAAGCTGTAGCTCATGTGGCACTATTAAAGATAAATTCATTTATCTTTATAGGTGATTCAATTACTGAGGTTTCATGGGAACAGAAGGCTAACTGATTTTCTGGAAATCAAGAGTTATGTGGTCGTTTTTCTCAAGTGAAATGATATTTTCTTGAGAAATATAATATTGAATTGAATCTGAATGCAATAAGTATGCATTTCTCTAGGTTTTCTGAATGTTTCTCACCTTGTCGGCATAAATAAAAATGAATATTCTCAGATAAATTATGAACATACAAAAATGGATATATATTTATATAAAACAATACATTGAGAATTCGCATTCTCTATGTGATGAGAATATTTACTCTTTTTCAGTTAATTCAATAGAAAACAACTACTTTCCTGGAAACTTGTGATTTTTATAGACCTCTAATCGCAGATTCGTGATAGAGTCTCAATTCAGAATTCATTTCCACGCCCTGTATGATGAATGTCAATTTATCATACACCCAAAAATAAATAAAAATATTTGTATTATTTCTACAGTGCTTTTCTTCAATGTCCCTCCTTATATTTTTTGAAATCTCATGGAACAGGTCGATTTTCAATCTCAATTCGCTATGTTCATACACACGAAAAATTGAATATACAGGGTGATCCACGTTTGAGTCATGACGTCTGCGACAATTCTTTCAAATAGAACACCCTATATATTATTCAGTTTTTGGTATCTCCATGTAAATCTGATTTCAAAAATATATCACACATAGGGTTTGTACAGGGTGATTCACCATAAATGTCCCTCCCTCTAGCTCACTTATTTTTGAACCGTTTTAATAATTTGAAAGATAATCTAAAATGATTTTTCTGAAATTTTTTTCCCGTTGCATCAGAAAATACAGGGTGCTCGGAACAAACGATCTACAGAGTACTAATTGATTTTTTAAAATGGAACACCCTGTATTTTATTATATTTTTAGATTCTTCCTGAAGAGCTGATTTCATCAATGTATCACACTTGGTGTTTAGCGGGAATGATTACAGAGATATAGGGTGTTCAAAATCGAGATTTTTCAACTTTAGGATTTTTTTGTGCCGAAACTATTCATTATTGGTCAAAACGGCTTCTATGTTCCCATCCCAACTTTCGATTCACTATCTAGTGAAATTTAATCGGAACATTCACAGGGTGGTTCAAGATTCAGAATTCTGGTCACCCTGTATCTGTTCCAATTATTAAATGTCAGTAAATAGTAAATCAAAAGATAAGATACGGACATGAAAACCACGTGACCGATAAGGAATAGTTTCGTCACAAAAAATTCCTGAAGTTAAAAATCTCGATTTTGAACACCCTATATCTCTGTAATCAGTCCCGCTAGACCCCAAGAGTGATGCATTGATCAAATCAGCTCTTCAGGGAGAATCTAAAAATACAATGAAAAATAGGGTGTTTCATTTAAAAAAATCAAATAGTACCCTGTAGATCGTTTGTTCCGAGCACCCTGTATTTTCTGATCTAGCGGAAAAAACTTTATCGAAAATCATTCAAGATGATATTTCAAATTTCAAAATCGGTTCAAAAATAACTGAGCTAGAGGGGGGGACATTTATGGTGAATCACCCTGTACATATATAGAACGTCCATTGCAAAAAAGTCCAACGTCGAATTACATTTTCATTTGATCATCTTTCAAAATTCAAATTCAAATTATTAGATATGATATCATTGGTAGTTTTTAATGGCAACCCCGTTGCCAGTACTTAATTCAACGGACACACTGTATACAAACTCTATGCGTGATATATTTTTGAATTCAGCTCTCCATGAAGATTTCAACAATTAAATAATATACCAATCGGGCGCAATCGGGTGTTCCATTTGGAAAAATTGTCGCGAACGTTATTACTTATTGTTCCACCCTGTATTTTTGATTTTGCTCTATAAATGTGTCAAATTGGAATTAAAAATCGACCTATTTTAGGAGATTCCCTAGAAGTGGATAGTTTGTCTGGAAATGAATTTATTTAGTACTTTACGTTTACGAAAACAATGTTCGTTTCAGTTTGACTCTAGGTATTACCTGTACCTATTTCCCTTTATTTTCATTCGTCAATACAACAGTTAAATGTTCTACTCAAAAAGTCGCTTTCCGATTCCAACTGATTCGAATTTGAAATCCTCGATCTATTCCAATGAATTCAATATTTCAATAAGTGATATTTTTTTTCAAAAATCGGCCTCAATCATACTGATTTGAATTTGTGAAATTTCACATTATCTTCAGCTTGTTGAATTGAATAAACTGAGAAATCAAAAACGACAACCCTCCACAATATTATTTCGTAATTCCTTTTATTCTATAATTTGTTAGGCACATGTAATATTATGAGTAATCACCCAGTACATTTTTATAGCCAAAACTTTCTTACCATAATTCCTAGTAAAAATCCTCGTAAAAATCAAAGACATCACTACACGAAAACTGTACCTAAATCCCTTCATTAATTTTCATTTGTCAATATAAAAATCGTTCACAATCAAAGTGATTTGAATTTGGGAAATTTCACATTACCTTATTCTCCTTGGTTCTCACGATGTTCTCTGAACATTACAGGATATCCCTTTTCGTTGAAACCAGAACATGAAAAAAAACTATTTCCCTTTATTTTCATTCGTCAATATAACAAGTAAATGTTCTACTCCAAAATCGCGTTCCCATTTCAATTGATTTGAATTTGAAATCCTGGATCAACTCCAATGAAGTCAATACAAAAATAAATGATATATTTATTTTAAAAAATCTTTCACGATCAAACTGATTTGAATTTGTGAAATTTAACATTACCTTTAGCTTATTGAATTCAATAAATTGAGAAATGAAAACGACAACCCTCCACAATATTATTTTGTATTTTCTTTCATTCTATGAATTGTTAGGCGCATGTAATATTATGAATAATACCTCATTACATTTTTATAACTAAAACTTTCTCACCATAATTCCTAGTAAAAATCAAAGAAATCACTACACGAAACGAAAATATAATCACGAAATTGGAAAGTTCATCTGCGAATCGCGATAATTTACGATAATGTCTAATTCATGATATTACCTTCTCTACTACACGCGACTGGGGTACCACAGAGTACCACCGTTGTACCGCCGCACGAGCTGAACTGAAACTGATTCGAAACCGAAACACTCTGTCGAAACAGAAACTCCCTATCCCTGTATAGCGAAGTATACGTATGAGTCCTGTTTATAGATATTCTATAGTTCACAAGAGATGGAGGGGTGAACACCATAGTTTTTCATTTTGCGTGAAATGAACAAAAAAGTTAGATTCACGAAATTCTAGATTCGGTAACAATTTTTTTTCCTACGAGTGTGCGGAAAAATAAGTTTTTACACAAGCGTGCGTGATTCACCCTATACCTGCAGGTAAATTTGAGTTTGGGAAGTGTCATTTCCCCGCAGTATTTATTGAATGTACAATAGTAAAAAAGTGAAAACACCAAAAATGAAGAAGAAGTATTTTTGGCTCATTTCCTAGAAATGTCTGAAACCTAGAGGCCAAACACCATGGGCATGCTGGCTTTCGCAATAAGCTCACTTACATATAATGCTTCAAACGATATACACAATAGATATATCACTAATTATTAGAAGATAGAGAATATATCACTATTGTTAGTTGTTCCTATTTGCAGGAATAATTGATTGAACAAATCAATCAATTTCCTACGCTTGTAGAAAAATAGTATATTGTGCAACAAGTGGGGATAGTTCACCTTTTCCCCACACTATACTTTTTCCACAACTGCACTTATCCAAAGAATCCAAGTAATATAATTTATTGGTATTCATTTTATAATGTGGCACTATGCCACATTGAATATTGTGACCACAGAGTAGACGCCTTTCCTAGTTCCTCAAAGTATATAAAAAAGTACACTTTCCGAAAAAGATTTTATTTCTGTATTTTTTTAGATTCCATAGATTTTTCGTATATGCCAATTCATACTTTTTTCTTGAAAATCGTCACATCTCGGTATATACATCATATTATTTATTATGAATTGTTGGAATAATATTTGATGGAAACTGAGATTTCTATCGAAAGCACTAATGAGAACTACCCTAAAGAATTTAAAAAACTTCATCTGTCAGTTGTGACAACTATTCAAAGCTGAACAGCAGCCAATCAAGTTTTGGTCGATTTTTGTTGATTCTCCATGGAAATGTATGTGGTGTTGGCAAAGTGCCGTGAGAAAAAATATTTCTCACAGTATGAGCAATACATTATGGTTTTGAAACTAAGTAAGCTATGAGAAATGCGTTACTTTTCATAGCAGTAGTAGAAAAAGTTACTTCTCGGCACGATTTTTTATAGTTGAAAATGAGGATATTTAACACTAACTAAATGATCTATTTGTGACTATTCTTTCTTATGTGTCATTTTGTAGCATTATTATAAAATCCTTGTTAGTCAAAAACTTTTTTTCATGAATAATTATGGACAAAAACACTCGTAGGAAAAACATTGTACCTAACTCTTACGGAAAAAGTTCATTTCCACCCTTGACGGCTTGCACAACCTCCGCTTCGCGTCGTTCATGCAACTGCCGCCGCATGCGGAAAAGTACTACTTTTCGCACTTGTTAGGTAAATAAATATTATATTTGCAGATGTTAATTTTATTAGGCATAGACATTTTGTTGAAAAAAAAACAGGTATGTATGAATAATGTTAGAGTAACGGAATATCTTCGTTTAAGGTTTTATACAGGGTGAAAAATTTCAATAGCAGAAACGGTGGAAATTGTCTATTGTTTTTTGAATTATAAACGAAAATTCGTTGTTTAGACTCCTAGGCACATCGAACACCAACTTTGTTCGATAGCACAACATGTAAATATCATGCTCTATGCACTTTCCAGTGACATTAAGAAACATCCATGAAAGATAATTATGCAATTTCGAGTTTTGGCCTAGAGCTGTATATTTTCAGATGGGAATCATGTTTAGGTTTAGTTGAAATTTGACCACTCTGTACATTGATTTTCGAGAAATATAACATTCACCAGATAGTGAGGATTTGGAAACACCATGGAACATGAATAAAAAATCCATAAACTACAAATCTAATAAATATACATTTTAAATAGGTACAGTCTGATGCAAAGACGATGTCGATTATGTTGCGTTCTTTTAACAGAAGTGACTAGTGCTATCACCGTCTATGTGCGACAATGCGACATGTTCATTGCATCTGACATATACTTCAGTCCTTCATTCATAACTGAATTACTTTATTTCAATTATATGTGGATCAATATCAAACCGGAATCGTATCTGTCCCTAATATAACCTTTTGTATGGCTTCTCCTATAAAAGGTGTCCCAGAAAAGTTATAAGTGATATTTATTTTGTTTTAAAAATACGTGAAAGTGATATTTCATCCCAGACATGAAATAATGTGTGTTTTCGAGCAACCAGCATATTTTTTTTATCGCTTAGAGCGCACGAAAGGGAATCCCTATAATGTTCAAAGAACATCGTGCGTTCCTAGGGAGGATAGGGACAGGAGGTAGGTATTGGAATTTTTTTGAACTTTTGGAGATTATATGTTGTTGGGAATACTTCCACAGGAAATGAATTCAAGAGTCTAGCCGTTCTATGGATGAAGGAGTCTTGATAAAGTGCCGTTCGACATCTTTCGAGGTTGACAACGAACTGATGTGCAGACTGGGCTTGTCTAGTTCGTCTGATTGGTATTGTTAGTGAAGGGATGATAGCAGAGATTTCCGAAGAACATTTCCCGTGGCAGTATTGATAGAGAAGTGAAAGGTCGCCGAAATATTTCTCATACTCCAAAACAAAATATCATGTGAATGTCGAAGACTTGACAACAATGTGCTGAATGCTGAGAACTGACAAGGCACCGCCACAATTCGGCCACCGTGTTGTCACGTTCACCAAGGTTGGTAGAAATGATGATTATTTTGTAAAGGAAGGTTGCCTCGATCGTCCCCCGCGAGTAATTCATGACGTAATAGGCCCTTTCATTTGCACGAAAAATGGAGCACTTTCGAACTCTTCGTGTATGATATGTACGCCAGCTCTTGCATTGAAGTGACAGTTTGTCAGTATTTTTGAATATTTGAATTTAAAAATGTAGAAATGATAATTGGTTCAGTCGCTTCTTGTTCAAATTTGTACAAGTGTAATGAGTGAGATGTTTATAATTGTAATGAGACCAGTGAATTTACTTTGAGTTTCCATATTCATTTCCAAAAGATGAGTCTATTCGTGAGAAATGGATTCAATTTTGTGGACGTGATTTCATTTCATTTTATACCAAAACTTGACAAACATGTGATTTTGAACGGAACCTACAAGCAGAATTGCTAAATTAAAGCAGGAGGTAGGAATACCATCAATAATATACGAAATACAACAAAAGAAACACCACAAGTATGGAAGTTTGCGATTCCCAATATGACTATTCTCAGGACAAACAGGTCATGGTTATAGAAGAATGATCAGAAGATACAGTTAGAGACCAGTTGTGAATGTTCAGAGATTCTTGCTGCTATCCTTTACTATAGGTTAACTTATAATTGTATATGTTATTTTTTCATTAATTTTGTTATTTTGAACAGAATCATACTTTGTAATTTTTTCATGCTCTAACCCAGTCAACACACGGACATTCGATGGACATCCATTGGACGTCCATTTAGGATATTTGGGATATCCAGAGAATATCCAGTGATATCCGATGTATATCTTATGGACGTCCAATGGACGTGCCGAGTGGAAGGAGTTGGACTTCTATAGGATATCCTTCAGGGACATCCATAAGACATTTTTCAGGGATATCCATAAGATATTGTTCACAAATATCCATAAGACATTTTTCAGGGATATCCATAAGATATTGTTCACAAATATCCATGAGATATTTTTCAGGGATATTTACTAAATATCCTTAACAATGTAGAACACCATGTATATTATTCCATAATGAATTAGGAACTATTATAACGAATTCAACGGTACCGGATTGGATAGGGTTATTTCAAACGATTACGAAGATATTTACATTCGAAGTTTTCATATGCTCATTGAGGATATGGAAATGTGAATATCTTCCTAATCGTTTGTAGAAATCCTATCAAACACAGTATCGTTAAATTCGTTATGATAATCCTCAACCGATTATGGAATAAAATACAGGGTGTCCCGTTTGAAAATGCCGTCCTCGGTTAAACCAAAAGTGCGGTAAAGCAAGTAGATATATCGAATAATATAAAATGAACTATAATTCATGACCTCAATTGACGTTTTACTACCTACAATAATGAAAAAGTTATAGGAGTGAACCACCTTAAAAAATCACCAGGTAGGAGTATGTAAAAAAATAAAATTTATTCAATTGTTGCAAACCGAATAACAAATGATATACTACACTAAAATATGAATATATAAAAAAGAAGTAAACATGCAAAAAAGTATAAAATAATAAATATTCTTATTGAATTTGCAAATAACTACAAATTAAAAGTTATTTTGACATAAATAGGATTTTATGTTTTCTTTGGATATCTTATGGCTATCCATAAGATATCTTCTGATGGATATCCGCTATAAATCCATGGATGAATATCTCATGGATGTCCATCTGAAGACCACAAAAAAGTAAATTTATGAGAGCTATTTTCGAGTGATTGTATATTTTTGTACGAAAACATTGAACAACAGAGAAAAATTCCAAACTGTGGTGTTGTTATTTATATGAATTCATATTTGCATCGTATATCTTAATTGTGGCTATAAACATATTATACCTACATAACAATAGTTATATGATGGAAAACTACCTTTGAATTTGCATGTGATATTTGTGATGATTCGTATTGTTTTGAACCATTCTCAATTAACAATTTTTGTTCGCTAAACGAACATCTTATGGACGTCCATAGGTGATCCGCATCAGAATATCCATTTGATATCCTCTGACGGATATCCTATGGATATCCATTTCATGTCCCAGGATATCCCGACCTGAAATGGACTTGAGAAGGATATCCATAGGATATCCTGTGTTATCTGGGAACACTTCAATTATTGCTCTGTTTTTGACTAAAATATGATCAAACAATGAAATACTATTTTCTCTTGTATTTTTTATAGGTATCTATGCAAGTTTTGTAATTTTTCAGAA